CACCCTACCACCCACAAAAGACTTCCAAATTAGAAAGTAAAACAGTCTCACTAGATGAAAGTCACCGAAAAAATGGTTGTTGTTTTTTTCGGGGGGTGTTTGTTTGTTTACAGTCCCTTCTGTTACTCGAACACAGTTCCCACAGGTATTTGAACTTGGGGTCCCTGAATAAGCTCAGAGAAGACAGAGATGATATTTCACTCACTCCTTCTACAGTGCTTCGTACAGTGCTGGGCCCATAGTGAATGGCCAAATGGTATTTTTTGAATGAATGAATTACAAGAACAGAAGGAATCCATGCATACTACCAGCAGAACAAAGACAGGCTAACCTCACCTCCAATATCATCAGTTCCACACCACCCTGGCCCATCACTGGCCCCTCTTAGGATCCGCCCCATTTGGCTTTAGGTATCCTTTATCTTCTTCACTTTTGTGGTCCACACCTGCGCTAAGGACAGCAGGAGGTGACCTATGGAACTGGAATGAGGAGACAGTCATGAAGTTGAAGCAGCTGCTTGGAAAATAAATTGCATGTAATCACCCGTTATTCCAATTCTAATCTCATCTCGAATCTGCTCTCCAAATTCCTACTTTTGCTCCCTCGCTCTTGGCTGCAGAATGCTCTGGAATTAGAGCTCCATTGGACAAGAGGAAGAACAGATCAGAATTTACCTTCATAATCATGAATCATCAACTATTTATTGCATAACCAGTTTAGATAACAGTGAATACCGCACAATTTCTGTGCTGCACCTTCTGGTGCAGGCATTTAGAAAGGTAGCAACTAATTTTTTACATCACATCTTAAAAAACCCCATTAACTGGTATAATTTTATTTAATACTTGCCTATGACATACACAGGCAAAATAGGGATGAATGTTCTTACTGTACTGATGAAACTTTTGGTAAGGACTTAACATGCAAACTTTCATCCAAAGCTGCAACAACTCTATGAGCACATGCTATTAGCATCTTGCCCATTTTCCCAGTAAGAACACTGAAGCCTAAAAAGATGAAGTGATTTGTTTTGGCCATGAGTTAGTAAGAGGTTGAGCCAGGAATTAAAACCCTTTCTCTGATTCCAAGATGCTCACCAGTTTGATATTATCCATTAACTCTTCTTCACTAGCGTGTTACTTCTGTCATGCAAATGTCTGTTTCCTCTCCTAGATTATGAGTGACTCAAGGCACAGACCAAGGCATATCCATAGCACTCTCCCCAGTTAGCACAGGCCTGACACTTATGTAATGAGTGTGGGATAAAAGGAAAGAACAAGAGGTTAAATTACCTGTCCATAGTCACATATCTGGTGGTAAATTCCAGGCCTGAGACTCAAAGACAGTCCTTCTAAATCCAAGGATTTTTCAATAATAATAATAGGAGTAATCATAATGCCAGCTATTATTTATTGGGAATTCACATCAGGCAATTTTATACAAACACTGTTTCATTTAATTCTTGGTATAAGCTTGAAAAATAGGTGTAATAATACCCTTATTTTGCAACAGAGGTTCAAAGAGATTAAATACTTTGCCACCCAATTTGCCACCCAGCTAATAAATATCAAAGCTTCAGTCTGTCATATCCTGGTTCCTTAGTGCTTGCCAGCTTCCTCCCCTGAGAACTGGATCCAACCTCTGTTTGAATCCTTCCCTTCCCATAACCCAAACCATGACTATTACACTTCTGACTACAGGAACCCATTACTCAGAGATCCCTGCATTGGAAATCCACCTGTATAGGGGGACCTTTGAAGAGAAGGGACCCTCTTCAGAATTAAAGCAGAGGGGCCAAGAGCATGAACTTCTGAGTCAAACAGTTCAGATTCCTATGCTCCCCTGATTTCTAACTGCAAAATGGTAGTCAGGGTGTCCCACCCACCCATGCATCCATCGATCCATCCATCCATCTATCCACCCATCCTCTCATTCCTTTTCATTTATTAACCCATCAACCTTGCATCCTTTCTTTATTCCATCCTTGGACCATCTACCCTTCCATTGTAGTTTCTTGTTCCTCCATCTCGTCTTCTTTTAATCCATCTTTCCATCTATTTACTCAACAAACATTTATTGACCAAATACTCTGTTCCCAGATTATTGAGTTCTGACTTTACAAAGATGGGTGTGATTCAACACATGACAGTATGGTGGTAAAGAACAAGGGTCAACAAGCAGAGAAAACTAAGAAAACATCTGAGTTCAGTCACTTACATGCTGACTGCCCTTAGACAAGTTCCTGAATACTCTGTGAGCTTCAATTTCCTCTTACATTAAAAGGGAGGGAGGGGGAAAAGTTGTAGCACATAATTCATAAGGGTGTTTATGAGAAGAGAGAACAAGCACTTAGTGAGTGTTCAGACACCCTCAGTTCACACAGTCTACATAATACCTGTTCCTGTTCCACAGAAAAGGGAGACTTGTAATTAAATAAACATTATTTAAATTATTATTAAAATAAATTAAATGACTATTAATTAGATTATTGTCTATTTTAATATTATTTAAATAAATTAAGAGGGCCTCCTTGGTAGCGCAAGGGGTTAAACGCCACACTGTGGAGAAATCCACGGCCTCTGCAGCACGAGTTCTATCCCCAGCCGGCCAGGGAGAAATCCACATGGCGAGGCAGACCTCTACTGTCTCGCCTGTTGCTCCCCTCAGCAGTGTATTTCAGCCAGTCTGCCTGTTTTGTTCCCCGCTCTGTCTCTGGTGGATCCTCTCACCACCACCACCCCCACACCTGTGGCCTGTGCCCCAGCTCTTGTATGCATAAATAAATAAATATTTAAAAAATGAAGTGATAAGAGACCCCTAGTGGGAGATAACAAGCCAGCATGGGTCACCAAGGGAAGTCTCCAAAAAGAGGAATATTCTAGCTTCTTTTCTCATAGAAAGGCATTTCCTCAGATTAGATGCATTCTTAATTGCTTGATGACCTAAAGGCATTTAAGAAAATTTTATAGCTAATCACCCTTTTCCTTTCCTTGACCAAGGTCTTCACCAAAGTATTTTCAACACTCCAATTCTTTGTTGATGTCCTATATATCCATTTCTGAGTTTGATAGATCACTACTCTCTTCATTATTGCATCTAGAATGTCCTTGGAACTTAATATATCTTAGACCCATCATAAAATTTCATCTAAGGTGAAAAGCACCTTACACTTCTGCATTTGTCAGGAGGAAAGGCCCAGGAAGATTAAATGACTTGGCCAAGGTCACATAGCTATCCTGGTAACACAACTGGAACCAGATCCAAGTGTTCGTGGTATCCACTACAAGTTTACTTCTGGCCACTATGCTGCCCACTTTTATTTCTCATGCCACCCAACACCAAGCTGCCCTAGTCCTCTTTTTATTTATTTCTTTGTCTCTTCCTGATCCAGTGGCAAGTGGGGTGTAAAGTTGGGAACCAAATTATGTTGAGAAAATTACTTTGCCTCACTAAGTCTGTTTTCCCATCAAAATTACTTTGATAAAACCTACTTCACAGATTTGATGTGAAGATTAAAAGATAGAATTTAAATGAAAGCACTTTGAGAAATGCTATATATTGTCTTCTATTCTCATAACCTATAAGTGGTGAATTCAGACTTAGCTCGATATGACTGCAAGGTGTATACACTTTTTACTGCATTTCTGGCATTTAATAGATACTTAACGAATAAAAGAAATTGGCTTCCAAGAAAGTCAAGTAGATGTATTTTTCTCTATTCCTTCTGCTGAGTACAACTGAAGTTCACAGACATCACATTTAAAGCAAATATAAGTACAACCTCTATTTCTACCTGAAACTAATAGGATGGCATTACACACTTCCCTGCCAGAGCATATAAAAGAAAGCCAGCTAGACCAGAGGTTTCAATTTGATTTAAAGATTTCTAAAACAATACAAAAATGTACAGGCTTCAATTGAAAACCATTCATCATACCAAGAACCTGGAATATCTCAAACTGAATGAAAATACTATAATCAGTAGATGCTAACACCAAGATGTCAGAGCTGTTAGGATGATCTGACAGGAAATTTAAGGCAGACTTTGTAAAAATGCTTTATGATCAATAACAATCAAAACAAGTGAAAAGAAAGAAAACCTTGGTAAATAAATAGAAAGTGTCAGCACTCAAGTAGACTATATGAAGAAAAACTTAATAGAATTTTAAAAGTGAAAATTACAATAACCAAAAGTTAAAATGCACTGAATGGGTTGAACAACAGAATGGATGGAAGAGAAAAATAATAAATGAACTAGACAATAGAACAATAGAAATTACCTAATCTGAATAACAGAGGGAAAATAGACTGAAAAAGGAAAAATGAACCATGAGCCAGGGGATCTGTGTACTATAACTAAGCTAACATTCACATCACTACAGTACTCCCCAAAATGAGGGAAGAAAGACAGAGATGGTGTGTCTAAAAGGTTACTCAAAGAAATAATGACTGAAAAGTCCCCAAATTTGGTAAGAAATGTAAATCCACAGATTTACAGAAACTAAGAAACTCCCAAATACAAGATATCCACACACATAAATTTCTGGAAACTAAATACAAAAAAAATACTTATAGAAAAAAAATCCAAATGACAGACTATCTCATCAGAAAGCACTGAGGCTAGAAAGAAATGGCACAATATTTTTCAGGAGCTGAAAGGGAAGAACTGTCCATGCAGAATTCTATACCCAGTAAAAATGCCCGTCAGGAATAAAAAGGAAACTCAGACATTCTAGGTGAAGGAAAACGACAAGAATTTATTACCAGCATCCTAAAGAATGGTTTAAGGAAGTTCTCTAAACAGAAAAGAAATTTAAAGAAAGGATCTTTGTAACATTAAGAGGGGAAAAAGAACAAGAACATGGGTAAATTCAGTAGGCTTTTCTTCCAGAGTTTTCTAAATTATGCATGATATTTGGATGAAAATAAATAATCATTATAAGTAGAGAAAAATATTTGAAAGTCAATTTTTAATATTTTTAATAAAAATATCTTTCCAGGGCATGTGTATTATTTAGTCTCTCCAACAACTTCATTACTCCATTTTTCATATGCTCTCTATGAAGGTCCAAAGACTAAGAAGACCCATCTGTGATACATCACTTCTCCTTGGTCAAATACTACCCAGGTAAGTCTCAATGCACCCAGAAAATTCCTTGTCCAAGAAATTTGCTTCAACATTTCTAACTTGGAACCCTTTCACTGCAAATGACAGATACTCAGTTCGAACTAGCTTAAGGCAAGAAACTGGAAGATCAGGGCTGGTGCAAAGCAATGGCTAAAGTCAGTGTCTTTATTGCCCTCAGTTCACTCACCATCTATTTCTTGTGTCAGTTGCTTCTTTCTACATACCAGTTTTATGACCTCCTACCTGGACTTTCTCTGAGTTGATATCATAACAACCCTGGACCCAGAATAGAAAAAACTATTTTCTCCTCCACCTCCCATTGGGAAAAAATCCAAAGTAAGAACTCCAAATGGGTCTCTTCTTCCCTCTGGATCAGTCTCCTAAATCTATACCTGGAAGGTAGAATCTTTCAGCATAAAAAGAATCTGGAATGCTGGGCAAAGAAAACCTGTGGCCTGTGAAACACCTATAAAATGTGAAGCCAAAACAGGGCTTGAATATTCTCCCACTGACTTCATCTTCCTTATATAAGAATCTCTAAGGAATCTGATGATGACAAGAATTCTCAACCTCAGCTCTACTGACTTTATGGGCCAGGTAATTGTTAGTGTAGGGGCCTGACCCACACATTGAAATATATTGAACAGCATCCCTGATCTCTCTTCCCATTAGATGCCAGTAGCTGTGCTCCACCTCCCAGTTGTAACAACCAAAAACATCTCCAGACAGTGCCAAGTGTTCTCTAGGGAGCAAAATTGCTCCTGGTTAAGAGCTGCTGCAGTAGAGGAAGGACAGGACTGGAAAAAGAGGGCATTTTCCCAGAAGTTATCATCAATGTGAACATTTTGAGTTTGGGGAGGGAATGATAAGGGAAGGATGGAAGGAGATTGCGGTGTATCCTGCACCACCTATATCATTTTCCCATTAGCCCCTTGGCACCAATTAATGTATCACATTATCTAGTTGTCACATAAGGGAAGAGTTAGGGTCCCAGGGCATATGAAATAGAATGAAGCATATAAATACTTCAGTCTGGGAATGTGGAAAGGGAAGGACTATGAATTTGGACTCCTTAATGGATGAGGTAGATGGTGGTAATTCAGCATCAGTGACTATAATCTGAGGGAGCTGAGCAGTGTTTCTTGTGTCCAGAACCAATTGTTAGCCATACTAACAAGAGTGATCTCTTGTGATTCAGGGTTTTCATTGGATTTTCTCGGACTCAATCTTATTTTATTTTTCCCAAAACACTGTTTAGTGACCAAGAAAAGCTCTTGTTATACTCATTTATAGTAAAGGAAACTGAGACCCATAATATAGGAAATTGAAGCAATATTGCGTGAGCATTAAAAGTGTGAGGAAGACAAATCAGTCTGTAATGCTAGGCTCCACCCCTTACTAGTTATTTAATCTTGTCAATTTATTTACCCCCTTATCTGTAAAATCGGGTAATATAGATTGTCATGAGAATTGAACTGGCTAATGCAGATAAATATGTATTATAGTATCAAGCACTTAGCAAGCACGTAATAAAAGGTAACTATTATTATCACTATAGTCTTTGGAATTCTAAGAAAAATAAAACAATTTAGCCAAAGTCTCACACCCTGATGGGTTGGGTCCTTAAATTCAACTTTTTAATATTTGATGATATTTTATTATTTTATGATGACTGAGACCAAGTATGAGGGATAAATACTGATTGTCTAAGAGGTGTTTGACATCAGTAGTGGGGCTAGGGGAGGGCAGTCTTTTGGGACTTGGACCAGTAAACTGTAGAATCTGATGTTATCTCTTATCTCTAGGTAAATAGCATAAACATGAAACCATAGCTGTCCCATCATTGTATATTTAACGATCTTTTGATTTTGTTTACAGCAAAGTTTGAAGAAGAGTTTGACAAAGTCTATAAGTCAAACAACCAGAGCTTGAGCAGAAGCAATTGACTTTAAGCCAAATTCCATGCCATCCACAGAACTAAGAGAAAAGGGAATGCCAAAACTTTATTCAGAAGTAAGAGACTCATCAACAACTGCCTGGACCATATTCAGAAGACAGGGGTCCATCAACGAAATCCCAAGAATCTGGTTATTTGAAAAAAGAATTCTCCATGTATGAGCCAATTTGTAACTAGCCATTCGGATTTTGCTAAGCCCATAACTGACATTCTGAACGTTTTTTTCCCTCCTTTCCCTGTTTCTATAAAACCAGTACAAGCCCCTATATCGGGGAGATGTGTTTGAGCTTTTTCTCCTGTCTCCTTACTGGTTGACCTTGCAATAAACTCTTTCTCCCCTCAAAACCCGGTGCCATAGAGATTGGTTTCTGTGCATGTGAGGCAGCAAGTCCTTTCTCTGTAACAATAACTGAATTTAATTTTATTGTAGGTCATTCCATTGATGTTAGAGAATTGCTTGATGTGGGGAGCCACACCTTGAAATTGGCATCAAAATTATTATGTACTGTTGTCACCAAAAATCTATGAGACTGATGGTTATGTTTGAGTCACCTCATCATTGACTGACATGAACACCAACTGACCTCAAGCATTTGAGTGATTGGAGCTGTGAAATCCCAAACTTCCTTATTCCAGAAAACAAAATGATCTTGTGCCAATAGAAATTAGGGAGCAGCCAGAGCTGGCCTGGAATCTTTAGTGTCTAGGTGATCTTAACCATAGTGTTTTAACTCTTGGGCCCCCAGTATAATGGTTCTGGAGTTGATCACTCAGGTTCAAGTCTTGGGTATGCCACCTACTGGTTGTGTCACCTCATATAATTTCTCTGAGACTGATTCGTCACGTGTAAAATGAGGAAAATAGCTTAATCTACCTATTAGAGAGGTGGGGATGAAATGAAACAAGTCATTCATTCAAAGAATAGTTACTGACACCTTCTCTATTCCAGTCAGGTTGTGGTAGTGATAAGACAGATTCAACAGATTGCACTGTTCTCATGGAGCTTACATTATAGCAGGTGATACATGCTGCACAGATAATTAAAATAACACTTAGTGGTGATCACACTATAACTTTGTGCATAACATACACAAAACTGGAAGTTTTAGCAGAGTTGAATAATGGTTGAGCAGAGGGAACAGAAAGTGCAAAGTCTCTTCAGCAAAACAGTTGTGTATGATAGTGAAGGAAATTATACAATATATACAAAGTACCAAAAACATGGAGAGTCCTCAAAATTTTTATTCTTTTCACCTTCCCACTAAGATACATATTGCCCTCTAATGCTACATTTAGACCAGAAAATACTCTCTAACGGATGGGTTCTGACCTGCATTTTTTTTTTTAATAGAGGCATGTTTTATTTATTTATTTGTTTGTTTGTTTACACATGCACTGGGCACAGTCAGAAGTGTGGGAGGGTGAGAGAATTCACCAGAGCCAGAGCAGGGAGCAGAGCAGGCAGAAGGACCGAAGTACACTGCTGAGGGGAGCAGCAGGCGGCAGGAGAGGTCTGCGCGCCATGTGGGACCCTCCTCTGGTGGCCGGGGAGCAGCTGGGGATCGAACCAGTGCCGCAGAGGCTGCAGGCAGCTTCGCAACCCAGCGCTTAACCGCTGCGCCACCGGGGAGACCCCCTGACCTGCATTTTAAACTGAGAACAAATTTCCCATCCACACTCACAAACCTACCAGCCTTGGCAGCTAATTTTTAAAAAATGTATTTATCATTGGAGATTTGTCACATGCTTGAACTCCCTGATAGTCCCTCAACCAACAACAATGACAGAAGGGAGAAGAGTAAAAATGTGCTGTATGTCACCATGTAGGGGGTCACCATGTAGGGTGCATATACCATTGCAATGTTCCCCAAATATAGTCAAGAGAGATGCTGTGGTCTGAATATTATGCACATCCCCGCCCCCATGGACACCCTCACAAAGTCATATGTTGAGGTCCTTACCCCCAGTGATGATAGTATTAGGAGATGGGACCTTTGGATGTACTAATATCACAAGGGTGGAGCCCCCCATAATGGGATTAGTGTCCTTACAAGAGACCCACAGAAATCTCCAATGTCTTCCACCATGTGAGGACACCAGAAGGCTCCAGCCCTGAAACAGGAAGCAAACCTCCCAGAGACCCACACTGAACCTGCCAGGGCCATCATCTAGGAGCTCCCAGCCTCTAGAACTGTGGGAAATAAATTTCTGCTGTTCATAAGTCACCCAATTTAAGGTATTCAGCCCCAGCAGCCTGAGCAGACTGAGACCACACAGAAGATGAGTTTAGGGAGTTCTTAGGCTCAATATTAAATCTCACTGAATCACTTGGTAGTTCACCCGTTCCCACCAGTCTAATGACGTGGAGGGGAAGTCTCTGGGGGGTGCCAAGGTGCCTCTAGCCTCTCTGACCCTTGTTAATTGCCTTTTCAAGGAAAAATGAATGAGCCTTGGACTTGGAACCTTGATGGGCTACACTTCAGAATGTTAGTGACACTGGTTTTCCCTCAACTTTACATGACTTCCTTCTTTAGAGAGCAATGGAGACTCATTTGCCTGTACATGACAAAAATTAATTTTAAAGATCTAATTTTTAAAATAGAGATGTTTCTAAGTAAGTCAACTTAAAGGGAATTATCATGTTAATAATAGCACAAGGGGCAAAAATCATGCACGTCCTACTCAAATGGCTCAATTTCAGGAAATACTGAGTTCTTTTCTTTCATCCTAATTGCCACCCTATTAGGTGGATGCCATTTTTATCTCTGGTTTACATACAGGAAACTGTGACACAGAGAGAAGGCATTCAAAGCAAAGTCATCTAAGCCTCTTCAACCCAGCTCCTCCTGGCTCCAGAGTCAGATCTGGTGGTGAATCGTGGTGTTTCCAGAATCAGAAGTTGTCTACTTGGGAAGCCTCAGATGCATCTCTGAAGAAGACTCCAGCAACCTCTGGCTTAAGAAATTAGCTGCCCGACTCATGGTTGACCTTCAGGTTGGGCTCAGCCGCACCTTCTCTCTCCCAGTCTCCTGCAGCTTCTCTTCCCACAGCAGCAGCTCGGAGAAAGAGGCAGAGAGGCAGAGGCACCAGAACCTGGTGTCACTTTATGAATTGGTGTCTCTGATCCATTGTGCAGCATCCCTGGGTGCCAGCACTGTCCCGGACAAGACAGCCATCAGTGGTCAGAGACTTGGAACATTCTGAAATTTCCTGAGCAGGTCTGCTCACTCCCCTGCCCCCACCTGGCCCAGCCTCTAGATTGCCTCCCTGCTGGCCTTTCCAGCCAGCTGCTCTGCTTTTGTCCTAGTGGCTGCTTGGCGGAAGCTGCCTTATCTCTACATTGATGAGTCATGCTCTCTGTACATTTCAATGTTTCATCCCTGCAGGGAAGATTCTGGTAAGTACCTTCAGTCTCACTGTTCTTAATACCCCATGCCTCCCTCTTAGGACTATTTCCGAGGCTCTTAAAGAAAATTGAACTTTTCAGCTGTTGGAGTGCAGTGGTTGAAAAAATTAGGCTCAGGGATTGGGGAAATGTTCTCATGGTTAACTGGGTGGAAAGAATATTCAAACCTTCTCCCATCTTCTGATCTGACAACTTGAGTACCTGAAATGTTCCAGGTATTATACGATGTGTGCAAATTCTTGGTCTCCGCAAGTATGCAAATCAAAGGAAAATGACACCTGGTGACTTTTTATTTATACAACACACAGACGTGATGGCAAGTGTCAGTTGCTGCTTTGGAGTCAGTCCTCAATTAGGCAGGAAAGGGCACGAGGCTTTGAGTTGTGAAAGCTGTGTTTACATTTCGGCTCTGGCACTGATGGTGCATGACCTTAGATACCTTAGTGCCCCTGGACCTCAATCCTCTCATCCATAAAATGGGGGAATTTGAATGACTTTTGTGGGTCTAGCAGTAGGTGATCACAGTCACCTTCTTTGCTCTCTCAAAGTCGTGGACATCTTGAGCGTAAAATGAAATACTCAGGCCTTGGCCACTTCACACAGGGGCCAATGAGAATTTAAAGAAAATGGTGTGCTTGACTCTACATTGCTACATGTAAAGTTCTATTGAGTGTGAAGAAATCGTTCTATGAGAACAAAGATCACTGGCTGATCATTGTGTGTTCCTTGTATTTTTTTTAAAGATTAATTTATTTATACAAGAACTGGGGTACAGGCCAGATGTGCGGGAGGGTGAGAGGATTCACCAGAGACAGAGTGGGGAACAGAACAGGCAGACTGACGAAATACACTGCTGAGGGGAGCAGCGGGAGAGACAGGAGAGGTCTGCTGCACCATGTGGGTTTCTCCGTGGGACCAAACCCGTGCTGCAGAGGCTGTGGACAGCTTCACAGTGCGGCGCTCAACCACCTGTGCTACCAGGGAGGACCTATTCCTTGTATTTGTTAGCAGAAGTTTCCCCTGACTTAAACAAAAGGCTCTGTCTACAGCGCCTCACCTAGACAGTCTGCATTTTTGCAATTTTTTTTGAAATTGTAGCAAGAACAGTTAGCATACATGCTAACTGTAAGAGAGTTCATCTCATTTAACATAAGAGCTACCCATTTTAGCAAATTTCAGCAATGTGTAATACAACATTGCTAACTGTAGATACTATGTTAAAGATAAGTTCTCTAGAACTTACTCATCTTGCATGAGTGAAATTTTATGTCCCTTGAGTAGCAACTCCCTATTCCCCCCCATCACCCTACCACAGCCATTGTCAAATGTCATTCTACACTCAGCATCTATGAAGTTGACTATCATGGATACTCATGTAAGTAAGAGCATGCAGTATTTGTCTTTCTATGTTTGGCTTATTTCACTCAGCATAGTATCCTCAAGGTTCATCCATGTTGTCACAGGATTTCCTTTTTTAAGGCAGAATAATATTCCAATGTATGTATGGATCACATTTCCTTTATCCACTCATCTCTCAGTGGGCATTTAGGTGGTATCGATACAACTTCAGCCAGTGTGACTAATACCATCATGAACACCGGGGTCAGGAGATATTAAGGGGTTAACTGGGAAACAGGAAGTCATTGGTCTGGGGATGAGCCAGAAGCAAGAACGGCAGCCACAGCTCCAGAGCAGATGGGAACTGTCAGGAGAGCCCCACAGAGAGGAATGAAATTCAAATTCCTCTCATGCCCTGTCTTACTCACTCAGGATCTTAAGCCCCAAAAGTTAGAATCTAATTGACCAAATTAGATTCTAATTGGTCCACCCACCCCTGACTATGCTGAGTCAGAGGATCCGGTCCCTTTTCCTGCCTTACAGGGGCAGCAGGTGCCTGAATCCACTCTCCTTATAAGACCACATTCAGCTGAGAGCTC